CAAGTTGAATGTTTTTAACGGGAAGAGAAAGAATCAAGGCTGATAGAGGATACATCTCACAATAGGCGGATATGGTGCTTCTTCCTATATTGATGTGATTCATGTGACTTAGCTCCTTTCCCTGGACCTCCCTGTCCCACGGGAGAGGCTCTTCTAGACCCAGCTTGGTCAGTGGCTGCCTTTGGATCAGGCTGTTCTGGCCAGGCAGCGGGATCGTAAGCTACTGATATGGCTGTGTCTGTATCCTAGTCAGGAGTGTCTGTCAGCCCCACAGTGAGGTGTATCTGGGTGCTGGCCTCTTCTAGAAGTAGTTCTAGATCTCTTACTCTGTATTTTCTGTAGTCCATTTTAGCATGGCTTGTGGCATCATCTCACTTGACTGGCAGTTTTTATTTTACCTGTGAGAAAGCACTTTCAATTTCTTCAGGAGTATGTGTAGCATGATCATGCTGTTTTGTGAAAAAGCAGAGAAAACAGTTGACTAAGACCTGTTTCGTACTGCGATCCACACTACAGCAAAGTACCCCTAGTGAGGTTCAGGTGGGACTTAGGTAGAAACTAATTTTCGGGACCTGATTAACAAAGGTAATTGTGGTAGAAACTTTCACATCCTCGTCTGAGGTAAGCTCTTGAACCTAATGAATCAGATGTTAACTCTAAGTCATTTACCCACAAAGCTCCTGACGTTAATAGTTCTGCCTCTCATCTCTACTTACATGTTGTTATTGAGATTTCCCTGGTGAATATGTTTAGTGGCTAATGTTGACAAGAGTCTTGTGATCTCCCTTTATAGCCACTTTTAGGGGTTATCTCGTCTAGATCAGTGACATACAAATGTACTTACTTCTCCAAAGGCTATTCTTCCGTAATCATTATCAGTTTATTGAGGTGGATAAAATAGATGAAAATAATTCCTCTGTTAAGTAAGTAAAGTAGTTATGTAGAGTGCTGTTTTGTTTTCTATAAATACATTATTGTATGTTGAGATCAGTGCAGTGATTCTACTTTATATAAATTGAAAATTTGGAATTTTAGGGAAAAACAATAGCTAACACTTAACTGAACACTTACTGTGTGCCCGGCATTCTTGTAAGTGTTCTACACCTATTATTTTACCTAAGCCTGCATTAATCATAGGAGGTAGGCATTAGTTGTCTTGCCATTTTAGAAGTAAGTCGAGATACAGGAGGTTAAGTCACTTGCCCTGGCCATGCAGCTGGCGAGTGTCTGAGTGACAGGGCTGATGGTGAGTGAGGGGGTTGGTGAGTGCAGGGGGCTGGTGAGTTTTGAATGCAAGTTCTCTGGCTCTGAGCCTCTCCTTGGATCACTGTGCTGCCTTCTGTCCCTAAGATTTTAGGTTGTGCATTCTTGGTTTTTCTTTTCTTTTTACTTCTTGTAATATTTTCTAGATGTGGGCTGAGAGTTTTATAGGAAAGATTTGCTCATTCTGGGGTGTTTGGTATCCGTGAGTTTATCTATCTATTGTTGCTGTTATCTGGCAAGCAAACACTGTATGCTTGTTTGTATCAGTAATTCTCAATCAGGAATGATTTTACACCCCAGGGGACATTTGCTTATGTCTGCAGACCCTTTTAGTTGTCACAGGTTGGGAGAGACTACTGGCATCTAGTGGGTAGAGACCAGTGTTAAAAGCTGTTACTCATCTTACAAAGCACAGGACAGCCTCCCGAAACTAAGAAGTATTTGGCCCATAGTGTCAGTAGCATCAGCTGAGGCCTGTATAATAAGTTAATGATTATCTTATAATGCCATTCTTATGTCTAAGGGGCAAAGTCACAGTAGTAATATAGAAATTATTTTTGATTTTTGTTTGGTAATTGATTTCATCCAGATTGATGCATGTTTGTATAAGGAGCATGAATACCAACTATACCTTAACATATTTAAGCTTCCCTAAGTCAAGCTGGATCTTGTGGCCCATTGAAGGAGGGCTGAGGAAGTTGAAAGGGAGGCCATGTAGAGACTGAGGACACAGTACTCTAGGTATTTGTTGTATTATTTATTTAAAGATTTATTTATTTAAATTAATTATTTTATTTTATTTTTTTAAAAGATTTTATTTATTTATTTGAGAGAGAGAGAGAATGAGAGATAGAAAGCACGACAGGGAAGAGGGTCAGAGGGAGAAGCAGACTCCCTGCTGAGCAGGAAGCCCGATGTGGGACTCGATCCCGGGACTCCAGGATCATGACCTGAGCCGAAGGCAGTCACTTAACCAACTGAGCCACCCAGGCGTCCTAAATTAATTATTTTAAAGTGAGATATTTTATTTTAAGATTTTATTTATTCGTCTGAGAGAGGGAGAGACAGAGAGAGCACAGCAGGGGGAGAGGGAGAGGGAGAAGCAGGCTCCCTGCTGAGCAGAGAGCCCCATGTGGGACCGGATCGCTGGACCTGGAGATCATGGTGTGAGCCGACGGCATATGCTTAGCCATCTGCACCACCCAGGTGCCCCTATTTATTTATCTCAGGGAGAGAGAGACTGGGAGAAGGAGAGAGGGAATCCTCAAGCAGATTCCCTGCTGAGTGTGGAGCTGGACATGGGGCTTGATATCGTGATGCTGAGA